TTTATTCAATCTTTCATTCTTATATTCATTATTTATTATTCTAGTTAGTATTTTCTTATATTAATAGTATTTATGAGTTTTCTGGTATTTCTGTTTATCATTTCATTTACTTGTATTTAATACAATACTTCTTTTTCTTTTATTATTCATTATTCTTAAATTCATCATACAATTGTTTCTCTTTACATTAAATAATCAATATAATGTGTATTTAATATTATTGAATTACTCTATACATCATTTGTTCATTTGTTAGTGAATTGATTGTATTGTTATTATGTAATGATGATATAAGTTAATAAATTATCATAACTCATATTCCATCATTGTACAAATTATAAATTGAAATCATTAGTATTAATGGTGATTGATTCTCTTTCTATCTTCTTATGAATTGAATTTCATTAAAGATAAAGAAAAATAATATTCTGATCTAAAAATACATAAAAATAAAAAGAAATAGTAATAAAAAATAGTAAAATACTATAATAAATATAGTTTTGATAATAGTTTCATTTTTAATAAAATAAACTATTTTGAGTATTGTTTAATTAAAATACTCAAGATTCATAACTTAAAACTATTTCAACTTTAAAACAAGAATGGAACATACAACAACATCAACCAACATCAATAATCAATCAATAATGAAATTAGGATATAATGAAATAATGATAGTATCAAAATATTTTAATGATATTAAAGATTTTATTAATTTAGAATTAGGTGTTAAAAGATTTCAAGGAAATACTGAACGATTTCATTTTAATCCAATTCCATTAAATGATTATTCAAGAAGATTATTTCCTAATATTGAAACATTTCATATTTATAATGAAGAAGATGAAGAATTTGATGATAGAAGAATATTTAAACAAGTAATATGGTATGATATTAGTTATTCACAGTACTTAAAAGAGAAAGAAGAAGGAAATATATGTAAACATATAAAATACACAGAAAGTGATAGAGAAAAATATGGATGTCTAATACCAAAGAATGTAAGTATTATTGGAGAGAATTGTTTTAAAGATTGTTATGATTTGACAACACTTAATATCCCAACAACAATCACCAAATTAGGAAACAATTGTTTTGACCAATTTTGGTCACTTGCATCAATTACTATAGCAACAACAATAAAAGAATTATGGGAGAGTTGTTTTGATGATTGTTATTCATTAACAAATATTTTCTAATGAAA